GGCCGGGCGTCGGGCGGTGCGGTGGGGAGCTCCCTCCGGGGCCGGCCCGGCCTCCCTCTGTCCTGACCGCGTCCTCCCGCCTTTGCAGCCGCTGCTGGCGGAGAAGAAAGAAGAGGCATCCAGCGCGTGTGCGTGGAAGGAGCCGCGAGGCAAGAGCGAGCGAGAGGAGGAGCGGCAGCGGGCTGAAGAAGGGGCAAGAGAAAGGCGCTCCTGGGAAGGGCATCTCCCTGTCTCCGGGGCTGCGGTCACCTAAAGCCTCCCTGGCCCTTTGGGGATGCTCTGTGTGCCCCCCCAGCAGGGACTCGGCTCATTGCAGCTCCCGAGAGTTAAGATGACGCCACTTCCCAAAGCTGCCTCCAAGCTGCTTTGTGCCCCTTGATGTTGCTGTGGGGAGCGGGAGCGCTCTGCAGACACCCGAAGCGTCGTCGGAGGCCGCGCGCACGCGGGGGACGCGTAGTCGAGAGCGGGGCTTTTGAGGGGGTTTCCCCTGCCGCTGCCCTTTTCCCAGCTGCTCAGTGCTGGGGTACCCAATAAAATGCTTTCTCCAGCTCTGTGCTCCCCGTTTCGCTACTTGCCTGCCCCGCCGCGCTTTAACTGACGCCGGCAAAATTGCAGCGCACACGCCCTTTGGAACTGGGCTTTGTGCTGCGTGTGTTGGTCCCGGCCGGTCGCAAGGGGAATCGCCAGGAGATCGGGTGGCGGTTTCCAGAGAGGAGGCTGGCGGTGGGGCGGCGTTGCCGCCCGAGTGCTTGGTGCGGGTTCGTCTCCAGGCTGGGCTGTAGCCGGCGAGGTTCTAGTTCGGGGCACGGGGACGGGTGTGCGAGCTGCCAGGGGCAGGGCTGAGGTTGCAGCTGCTGTGCAGCGGGGCTGGGGCGCAGAGCGAACCGGGGCTGGGTTTTCGGGAGTGGCCAAGGCCCCAGCCCTCCCTGACCGCCTGCACGGCGAGGCTGACGAGGGCCATCGAGAACCGCCGCGTTCCCCGGGGGCCGGTGCCGGTGCCTGGGCCAGAGGCATCGCACTTGGGGGGCAGCTCTTAGGGAGCGGCAGGGAATCGGCAACGGCCACGTGTCAGACCCGAGTGCTTTTTTTCCCTAAAAGGCTGCAGAGCCTGGCTGGCCTTTTTCCTTTTCCTTCTGTCCCTGAAGCCTTGCAGTTGCGAGCGACGGGCCACAGCCAGAGCACCTCGCGTCGAATGCAACCCAGAAGCAGCTTGCCCTTCCACCTGGGTCAGTCTTCCTCCAGGAATTTCTTCAGAACTGACACGTGGCTAAAAACTCCCAGTCAAGGCTCAGTGACAGTTAGCCTTCAGAAATACTCGTTATTTTGTGTGTTGCGGTAGTGCTAAGGAAACCAGCCCCACGTTGTGTTTCACATTGACTTAACCCACAGAGAGAGTCCCTGTGTTAAGTCCCTAAAGACACATACATACGCACAGAACGCAGACGAGCGTTGTTAAACCCTTTTTACAGCTGGGGAGTCGAGGCGTAAAGCAACTAAAAGCGTGGGTGCTGCTACTAGTGCTCAGACGGCAATGGTTAAACTGCTCAGACCAGCTCTTCAGTATTTTCATTTGTTCAAATGCCCCTGCAGGCGTTTGACATCATACTTTATCCCTGAGGTAACCACTCTGGCTCACCATGTTTGTTGTATTCCTGTTTAAATATTTTCTCAGGTCCATGGACACCTGTTTGCCCCATGCTGGTTCTGGGCTCTTCTCTGTTCTTTATCTTTCTGGAGTGTTTTCCACTTTTCTTCTTCATCCAGCTCACACATGCAGTGCTGCACAGGAGCCGTGTGGATTTCTCTCTGTGTAAGGACTTTCTTCCCTTCGACTATCAGTCTGCCTCTCTTTCACCCAGCGTATAATGATGCCTCGGGTGAGGATCCCATCTTCAGCCCAGTGCAGTTGCTAAAGGCTTGTGGCATTGAACCGTTTTTCATCTTGTATTTTTTCAGCATTTGCCCACCCAGTGCTCGATACGAGAGAGAAGGGCAGCCTTCTGGAAACGCAGGCACATACCCAGCCTGGCCAAGCTCTGCGCAGCAGCCTGGCATGAGTGCCTGGAATTAAGTAATGCAGCTCCTCTGCATACCAAATGACAGCGACACTTGGGATCCACCTCCTGGCGGTAAGTAACGCGGCTCGTCTCAGGTGACCCCATACCTCCCTATGCAAGTCAGAAGTAGGAAGAGCTCCTTTGTTCTTCTCTAGTACCGCCTGAGCAGGAGGCAGACAGCCAGGCTGCCTTTTCTGTCATGACTTCGGAGAGAGACCGGCAACTGGGCAGCTTAACTGTCTTTAACAAGGAGGACTTTGAAGAAGACTGGATTAAAGTGGCCAGTGGAGGCTTCGGGCATGTGTACCAAGTCAAGCACAAGAGGTGGAGAACAGTTTACGCAGTGAAATGCTCGCCGTACCTGCTGCAGGACTCCAGCATGGAGAGGTAACTGCGCCGTCTCTTCTAGCTCAGCAGTTCAAACTGAGCCATCTATGGTGGTTTGGCGCTAAAACTCTGAGGGAAATGCTCACTGGCTGCTTCTCCCTGGGAAGTCGCGGTTTTGGTACCCAAAGGGAGTGGAAAAAACACGAGTGGTCTGGAGTTCTGCCTCTCTCTCTTTCTTATGTGTGTACGTGCCTGTGCAAGTGGGAAAGGAACACTTATTCAGAACCATTGGCGTTGAAATCCGGAGGCTGAAGTAGGCATCTTAAACTAAACATGGGCATGTGGATAAAAGCAGCCTGATTACTTATTTGCAGCTTTCACTGGACGTTGGGACTAATGGGTATCTATTAAACTACATTGGTCACTAAAACCACCAGGTCTAAAGCTGAGGGACAGAGAATTTCCAGCTGTTTTTGCTGGGCTGACAAGCTCTCTCGCTTGCCTTATACTCTCCAGACATGCTCTTTTCTCTGGGTAGTGCACCCGCACCTTCAGTTTACTTTTTGCTCTGTCTCTCGCCTGCAGAGACTCTTCTGCTGACTGCCTTGGGTCTGGAGATAGAACAAAGCCAGGTAATCGCAGCCACTGCCAGTACCACACACGATACAGGCAGTCTTAATGAAAAAACAACTGAGTCAATGAAGTTATTTATTCTAAAATTTTATTCCACGCGAGTGGGAAGGGTCCTGCCTGCTTAAAAATCACATCTTCATCTGACGTTTCCTGTTGTGTTACTGACAACAGTTGAGATGGTTCAATCTGAGCAGCGACTGTCCTCTGTAGTTTGCACTGCTCGTGCTCTTCAGATGTTATGTTTGCATTTCATTCTCTTTTGGGGAAAAAAAAAAGAGTCAGGTTAATCAGTTTTACTTCTGTGTGTATCAATTCTAGTAAATTTAATCATATGGCTTGCAGGGATTGTCTCAACTCCTAGTGTACACGCCAGAAGAATGGCTGAATGTGAACAGAAATGTGCATTGATTAAAAAAAACCAAACAAACTATTTCTGCAATCGCCAGGATTTGAAAAACTAAATCTGAAAATCTGAGTTTGAGAAAAATATCTAACAGTACATGTGCCTTTAATAGTTACTGTACTGGTCTCCTAGGGACCGAAGTCATACTATTTTGTCATTAAAACAACTTTGCACTCCAGTTTAGTGTTATAAAAGGCTTTCCTACCCCTTGCGTATGTCCAAACAGCCTTGAGGCTGCTCTGACTTACGTTATACTTTTCAGCGACCCCTGTGAGTTCTGGATTACACGGCAAGACCATGCTGTCCTGCGCTAGGTCTGTGCCAAAAATCCTGTAGTCCTGTGCATCTGGGGGCTATTGTTCAATGGCTATTTCTACTTGATTTAGAAGGTTTCCACATTTGTGAGAGGCAGACCATCAGTGTGCAGTTTGTCTAATGCACACGTACCCACAGAGAACATCTTTGAGTGCATGGCATATGGATCTGTCATGAGCCTTCCCACGTGTAGTGCAGAATGGTTCTGGTTTATCTGTCAGCACGAAGTACAAGCCCCAAATGCAAAACTGAAAGCTTTCAGGCCGCTCAGTGGTTTGAAAAAAGCACAGCAGCACCGTCGTCTGGTAAGGGAGGCAAAGGAGGCAAAGGTTTCAGAGGAGCTTTTAGGAGTCCGTAGCACTCCTGTCTGTGGGCTTGTGAAAACAATGCGTCTCGCCAGTAGCTGTGAATGAAGACCACGGTGCGGTGACTTCCATCTGCTCACGTTCCTGATGCATAACCAACAGCTTCGCGCTGTTTCTTCAAAATGATGGGGCAAATTGACAGCCAGTTTATCAACCTTGGATGGTTTTGCTTGTCAGGACAAAACAGAAGATGGAATTTGTGGGATGATGGAAGACATCCCTGTGGGCACAGGAAAGCAAGGAGGGCAGGTGCTCAGTGACTGCTGTTGAATCTACGTATCACCTGAGAGAAGGAAAGAGAGTGGCTCTCGCCTCAGCTTCTGTCAGCTGCAAGGGCTCGTACTTCGCAGGTCTGTTGAGGCTGAGGAGAGGAAAAAAATCACAGGGAACCCACAGAAAAAGAAAACACAGCCACAGATGCAGTCACAGTGTTTCCCAGAGGGCTGAAACACTGAGATTCTTGTATGGGAATCGCTCTGGGGCTCTTGCTTTTCTCCCTTACAAGTCTCATTTCTTGTCCAACATCCACCTTCTTGCTGTACCTTCTCACGTATCTGTCCTAATGGCGCAGATGCCGCCTCCGGGGCTACCCTCCCTCTCTCTGTTACCCCCCACAATGCTGGTCCACTGCAGGATCCAGCCCACCCTTCTGTGCAGGTCAGCTCTCACCAGCCCCTGGGGTGCCTGGGAGGGAGGCAGACAGGGGCTGTGCCCAGTGATTCTGTCCCAGGAAGGGAACCAGAAACCACAGGAGTCACTTCTTTCTCCAAGCCCGTCATTTTCCTGGGAGGGGGGAAGAATCGATCCGCAACCCGCTACACTGCAGGTTTCAACTGTCTTCCTGTGTTAAGCTTTTCTTTCACAGTGGGAAAGACAATACCTGAGATTCCTCAATACAGAGGTACGATTTACTGTGGGGAGCCTTCTAGAGGAAGTCTGGCAGAAGGATTTGCCTAGCTGAACTATATTTAGAGCTATTGGCGGCCTGGCATAATGTTGTTGCAAGCTCAGATTCATTCCCAGGGTGTGCTTTTTAAATGCAGTTTTGGCACTTTACTGCTTGGCTGCTGTCAGCACGCTCTGGGCACCCCAACTCGTTCAGCA